GTCAAAATATTGTAGGAAGGACTCTTGCCACTTTATTCATCGGGCTTCGTGGACAAGAATACAGCGCTGTTCCAGGAAGATGGAGCATCGTGTCACACTGCTAGAAACACCCAAAAGTGGCAGGAAGAAAATGATATCCAGAAGTTGCCCTGGCCGAGCCAATCTCCTGACATGAACCCCATCGAAAACCTCTGGGCCATAGTCGACCGGCAAGTCAAGAAACAACAACAACAAAAAACAACAACTTCTAAGAGCGATCTACTCCAAGTTTTGAAGCAAGAGTGGGCGAAAATCCCACAATCTAAAATTGACGAGATGATTCTCACGATGCCCCAAAGGATCAACGAACTCCACGAAGCGAAAGGAAGATCTATTAGCTATTAATTAAATTATAAATATATCAATTCATGTGAATATGTTTGAAAATTTTTCATTTTTCCTGAAAAGGTAGTATCTATTTACTTGTGACCACGCTGTGTACATTCGTGGTTCGATGTGACTGACTCTTCTCGGGACAAGCTACCAAAATCTGGGACGTCTGGTCACCCTAGTTCTAAGTTGTTTTTAAGTAACTTGATATCTACAATTCAAGACTAAAAACAGATATGTGCATTTTAGATAAATAATGAAAGAAAAACTTACAATTGCTATTTCTAGTCCCAGTAATACGGTAGTTCCTTTCCTGTAGCCAACGTAATCTAATAGAGCTCCCCCTAGTGAAGGTCCAATAAAACCGCTAGATCGGAGTAAATAAAGATATTTTAATTAATAACATCGTCTAAAGAATTAAACTGATAAAGTCATTTTCATGAAGACAATATTTAACATTTACCTAATGAAGACAATATTCAACATTTACCTAATGAAGACAATATTTAACATTTACCTAATGTAAATGTTAAATATTGTCTTCCTAATCAATATTCAACATTTACCTAATGAAGACAATATTTAACATTTACCTAATGAAGACAATATTCAACATTTACCTAATGTCTTCATTAGGTAAATGTTCAATATTCAACATTTACCTAATGAAGACAATATTTAACATTTACCTAATGAAGACAATATTCAACAGTTACTTAATGAAGACAATATTCAACATTTACCTAATGAAGACAATATTCAACATTTACCTAATGAAGACAATATTTAACATTTACCTAATGAAGACAATATTTAATATTTACCTAATGAAGACAATATTTAACATTTACCTAATGAAGACAATATTTAACATTTACCTAATGAAGACAATATTTAACATTTACCTAATGAAGACAATATTTAATATTTACCTACCCAATCGCCAATACAGCACTAAAAACTCCTGTGATTACAGTCATAGTTGTGGCGTCATTAGGAAATCCCCTTGATCTGAAATAACAATTCGTGTTAGGTTATTTGTATTTATAATACATCTATTACCTTGTTATTCAGTTATTATTATTACTATACGGTGTTACTTACGTTAACTTGAAGAACACAGTTAACTTACTTTAGATATTGACTGTTTCTTACGTTAACTTGAAGAACACAGTTAACTTACTTTAGATATTGGCGATGTTTCTTACGTTAACTTGAAGAACACAGTTAACTTACTTTAGATATTGACGATGTTTCTTACGTTAACTTGAAGAACACAGTTAACTTACTTTAGATATTGACGATGTTTCTTACGTTAACTTGAAGAACACAGTTAACTTACTTTAGATATTACGATGTTTCTTACGTTAACTTGAAGAACACAGTTAACTTACTTTAGATACTAATAAAATATTTCAAAACGTGTTGCAAAGCAATTTTTTAAGAAGTCATCAGAACTGTTCTTACATTGCGCTTGCCAATGAATGGTTGTATCCCACAACGAGCTTGCCAGCAGAACCTAATCCAATAAATATTTGACACAAAATCACCAACCAGAGGGAGCTGCAGATTAGAGCAAGAAAAATATATTTAAACAAAAAATTACTAAAAATGTTACAAACTATCAGAATTATAAAATTAATAAAACAGTAAACATAAATCATGTTAATAAAACAGTAAATATAAGTCATATTAATAAAACAGTGAATATAAATCATATTAATAAAACATTAAATACAAATCATATTAATAAAAAAGTAAATATAAATAATATTTTCACCCACAAATAGAAACGAAAAAAAAAAACTTACGTGTTCACCGGAATAAACGGGACAGGACCAATAAATAGATAGGCTAATATACAAATAAAACTGGAAACCAGAAGTGGGACACGAGAATAAGGCTAAAGTAACAAAAAACAACAACAGGGTTTTAGTAGCCAGGTTTCAACATATTTGATATTAAAATTATATTAAACAATTTTGTAACTTAATCACGGTTTTAAGTCCATGTCCAGTCGTGTCCTATCTTACGGTTGTGCATCTTGAGAGTAGTCATGTAACTTAGGCTCTGTCGGAAGTTACTCAGTTGTATGGCTGTCATGTCGAAACACTACCACAGAGCTGACACAGAACTTTCAGTGAATGACGTGATCAACACTACTACAGACTGACACTGATCTTTCAGTGAATGACTTGATCAACACTACTACAGAATGACACTGATCTTCCAGTGAATGACGTGATCAACACTACTACAGAATGACACTGATCTTTCAGTGAATGACGTGATCAGCACTACTACAGAATGACACTGATCTTTCAGTGAATGACGTGATCAGCACTACTACAGAATGACACTGATCTTTCAGTGAATGACGTGATCAACACTACTACAGAATGACACTGATCTTTCAGTGAATGACGTGATCAGCACTACTACAGAATGACACTGATCTTTCAGTGAATGACGTGATCAACACTACTACAGACTGACACTGATCTTTCTCTTTGCTTCACATCGACTGTTTGTCATGCATTAATCAAGTATTTCTTTAACTTTGCTTACGCTGTAGCTGCTTTATTGTTGTTTAAAAGTCAGTCAGAGTTGAAAATGTTCACTTTTACTTAATAATACATTTCCTGATATTCCTATATTTATTATGTTTCCTTACCAATTTACATAAGTATTGGTTGGAACTGGTATTAGTGTATCATATATATATACATAAGTATTGGTTGGAACTGATATTAGTGTATCATATATATATAAGTATTGGTTAGAACTGATATTAGTGTATCATATATATATACATAAGTACTGGTTGGAACTGGTATTAGTGTATCATATATACATAAGTATTGGTTGGAACTGGTATTAGTGTATCATATATATATACATAAGTATTGGTTGGAACTGGTATTACTATATCATATATACATAAGTATTGGTTGGAACTGGTATTAGTGTATCATATATATATATACGTATTGGTTGGAACTGATATTAGTGTATCATATATATATACATAAGTACTGGTTGGAACTGGTATTACTATATCATATATACATAAGTATTGGTTGGAACTGGTATTACTATATCATATATACATAAGTATTGGTTGGAACTGGTATTACTATATCATATATACATAAGTATTGGTT